TGGAGCCAGGGCTCACTCTCTAGCTAGCAGAGAGCAGGTGATTCAGATCTTCACTTAGCAGAACTGCCCTCTTTATTTCAAGGGCCTAAAGCTCCTGAGAGTTGTCCTAAAAGAAGTTACCCAACATCAGTGTCCCCACTGAGACGGGTGGTCGGGCACTGGAACAGCCTGCCCAGGGAGGTGGTGGAGTCTCCATCCCTGGAGGTATTTAAGAAATGTTTAAACATGGCAGTTCAAGGCATGCTCTAGTGCCTGAGATTATTGGTTTGTGGGCGGGTGTGTGTGATGTGGTGGGGTGTTTGTTTTTTGTTTTGTTGTTGGTGTGGTTTTGGGTTTTTTTGGTGGGAGTTTTTTGTTTCTGTTGTTTTTTTAAGGTTGGACTCAATGATCTCAGAGGTCCCTTCCAACCATGGTGATTCTGTGATTCTGTAAATGTAATAATAGCCATAACTTTCATAAATCAGATTAAATATTTTCTGATAGAATGATTTTAAATGAAATAGAATAATTTCAAGGAAACCTATGAACTCATAAATGTTCTGAAGGGGAAATTATAGAAGAAATAAATTCTGAATTAATTATTTGTTTGTAAGTGATAAATAATCAACATTTATATTAAAAACTGTACCAAAGGCAAAAAAATAATAATTTGCAAACTGAATGGTAACATTTTATCCTGATTTGAGATAGACTGTATTTTGGTATTTTAGAATTTACCCTCAGACAGACATTCCATATGTGACTCATGTCTCCCAGCACTCAGAAGGGCTGTATGATTTATTTGTACTTAATTAGTGGGAAACCTGTGAAGATCAATTCAATTAGAAATAATGCAGATGAAGGAAAATATATGAGTTGAGTCTCGAATTTGAACAAGTGTTTGGGAATAATGTAGTAATAACACTTTACAAGCAAGAAGATAAAATGACTCTTTTTAAAGCTCATTTCTGGGAGGTGCTGAGTGTTGCACATGAATTGGCAAATACACTGTGCTCTGAGATATTAAAAATCTTGGTAACCAACATTTGTGTACCCACCAACTGAATCTGAGCAGTAGAGCAATCTGAGAGTTGCAGTTTTCTATGATTGGTCCATGTCATGCTCAGTCCTCACAAAATTAAGTATCAGAATTATTATTTGCTTTTATTTAAAAATAAATGATAGAACACAAAATAGTGACAGAAGTAATACACTCAATGTACTTTGTTAACTGGTGAAAAATCACTTGTTCTGCTAATAACACTCATCTCTAAACTTCTCTTAGTCCTTATGTCTGTCTCAGAAAGCTCCTGAGGTAATTTATATCCTTGTAACTTATTTCCTGGTGTCCATTTCTAACTTGTTGCTTTTTTTGTATCACATATTCTGAATAATGGGAAAACACTTTCGTCATTTTTTCTGTGAGTTATTAATATGTTGCTTCACATACTATCTCATATCATGTCTCCTCATCTTGTTTGAAAGGCAAAAGAACAGCTGAAAAATTGATGGAATCTTTTGTAAACGAGCTCACCCCTTCTAACAGCTTCCCTGTTATCTTAGGAAGTTAGTGCGCTCGTCAGGCAAAAAGGGCTGTACTTTGGTTTTAACTATGGTAACATTAAACTTGAAAGGAGAATTATGTCAGCCCTGGTATCAAGCCCCTCAAACGTCCTCAGTATTCTGAGTCCTATCTAATTTTTCTATGCTAATTTTGCAGCCTGACCTTTACATAAGTAGACAGGTGGGAAAATACATGTATCCTGTCAGCTGCCTAATGACTTCTTCATCTGAATAGACTGTTTTATGTCAACTGTGCCACCAGAAGTTCCCTCTTTTATACTGAACTGATCTTCATTTAAACAAGTCTTAGTGACGCTACCTGACAGGTGAAGCACTGTCAAGTATAAAATTATACCTTTCTGGTTATAGATAGTATTAATTTCTGCAGAATTTTTAGCCAAAAAAGTGTAATTTCCAAGGTTCTTTTGTAAACTTGCATCAGATGCTCTGCAGACGAAGAAACCCTTTTTAATTAATTCCTCTGTGCACACATCCATAATATGTTCTAAGAAACAATTTACTTAGACTTTGTGAGGTAGTGAACCTTGAATTTCTTTCCTTCTGTGAATACAATAATTTCTTTTCAGAACCTACAGCCTCCACAATGTCCTGTGCCTGTCTGTGTCAGAGTTTCATCATGAGAAATATGGAAAGGGACTCTTTTTCTGGGCATGAGGTTTAAAAATGTTACTTGATCATTTTATCAGATAATCATTAAATCCTGGGTTATAAGAAGTGAAGTCACTAAGCACTTTTACCATGACATTTAAGATTCTGTCATCTCTCTCCTTGCTAGTCTCTTTCTCAAGCTCAAGTCACAGTCTCTTTAGTCTCTCTGTGTATAAAAGCTGTTCCCCGTTGCTGAAGATATTTGTCAATTTTCTCTACAGCTTTTCTGGTTTTTTTTTTTTTTTTTTTTTTTTTGCAATGAGCTGACCAGAACTGCAGCTGGTGTCAAAGTTGGGAATGGTCACATAATTATGTTTTCTGGTTTGGTTTTGGCTATTTTCATTATAATTCCTAACATTCTTTTTTCCTTTATAATTGCTATTGAGGTTTAGAATGACATTTTTGAGAGGACCATGTACAATGAGTCTAAGCTATTTTTCTGGAGATAATTTAGACCATCATTACGTGTATGTAACATTAGAGTTGTTTTTCTCTGTACGTATTACTTTGCTTGCATCAGCATTTAATTTCATCTGCCATTTTATTATCCAGTCATTCAGCATCATGAAAGCCTTCTGCTCATTGTCAGCGCTAAAGTTGCATGCTGGGTAATTTCATATCACTGGCAAACATTACAACAAAGTTTTACTCATTTTTTTAGTCTTTGGCTTTTGTCTTTAGCACAGATGTGTTTGATCTAATCCTACACAAAAGTGAAATACAATGCGTGAAGATGAGTAAATAAATGAAATAAGGAGGAAATTATTAGGGATATTTTTTTTTTCTACTGAAACTTGTCACATCTTTTCATTGTCTCTTTGTCCTGTTGAAGCTAATTGCTTTCAAATTGTGATTTAAAGGCCATCTTTTATCAAGTGTTTGTCTGAGATCGACTGTGGAGATGATGTCATTCCAAGTATTTGCAGAATTTAGGTCTGAGATGTATTGATGTTAAGACATGCTTTAAATAAAATAAGAATGTTAATAAAATAATGTTACTGAAATTGATGCAGAAGAATGCCCCTTTATTGTTTTTTTTGCCCCTTTGTTTTTGGAAAAATAAGAATCAGTCTTAAAATTTTACCTCTCTGTATTTCGGAATATTACCAATATGTGTTTGAATGCAGTAATTATTAAGTGAAACCATGTGGGCTGCTTTTGGTAATTAGATTATAATCATCCTTTGTGTTTTATTATAATATATGCATATAGCAGTGCAGCACAATGAGTAAGAACCTGCAGGCCTCCCTACTTAGACTGTGATGTAAATCTTCTAAAGAACTTGATCCTACGAGTTTTTCAGTATTTCAAATAATCTCAAATTTCAGAATTTCAAATAAACATTGTAACAAGACCACTCCAACTTTAATGAGCAGACAGTATGCTAATTTGATTTAAGCAATAACTGTTTTCTCATTTTAAACTCAATTCCTTATTCTATTTCAAAAGAAAAGAAATTCAATGCTGAGATTATGTTCTTTTTATTTGATCATAGATTGAACTGCCTTGCCATAGAAAGGGGCTTTTTATTGAGATCTGCAAATGGATACTGCTTATTAGCAGTCAATGAACAAAAGTCCAAGAAAGTAAATGAAAAAAATGCCATTTGATTTTAGTAAGCTCTGCTTCAAATTTATGATAGGAAATGTGGACATTAGGAGTAGAAATGAGAGTTTGGAATTACTGAGCTATATTAATGTACAGTTAAATTTCACGTTTTTGGAAACCCATAAGTTTACCAAATAATGAACTATCAGCATGTATGCTAGCAGCATATAATTTTTATTACTCTTTTAAAAAAAAAACCAAACAGTAAAACATTTTCTGAAAAGTTTGCTCAAATGCTCATTGAATCTGATAAAAAGTGTATTTTGCACACTTTGGAAAGTGAACTTCAGACATTAAATGAGAGATTAAGTGATTATCAGAAGAAAAGCACATGCTAATTGACAGGGCAAAATAACCTTGTGCGTTCAAATTAAGCACTGGTGTCTTAGTATCTATGCTGAAAGTGAAAAGCAGATGATGTAATCATGTTCTGCAAAATTTCTGTCAGTCTGTGCACTTAGTGCACAGCAGCACCTTGAAGGGATGGTATTTCATTGCACTATGCAGGGAGTGAAAGTCACCTGAATGTGAAAAACCTTTCTAAGACTCTGTCTCCTCTCAATTCTTTCCTCATTCTTGGTATGACATATGTTGTGTGTGGGCCGAGGGGTCAAGGCCCAGCACATCAAAGGACTTTCATAGGGACTAAGTATGTATTCAAGTGCTTTGCTGGATTCGGACTAAAGAATCTCTTAAATAAAATATTTTTTTAATCTTGGGGTGGATAGGAGAGTTTCTTCATTAAAGAATACAATATTCTCGGCAGCACAGAAATAGGAATCCTATACATAGGATTTGTGTCAACCTATTACCCGTACAGAACAGTTAAATTTGTAGGGCATGAAGGTATGCTTCTGTCAGTGGGCTAGTGTATTACAGGTGAATAATATGAAATTTAAAAAGAACATAAATTTATTTCATGTCTAGGAAAATACGAACAGGAAGTAAGGCTTCTATTAAGCACAGAAAACAGATCTGTGCTCTAAAAAGACTGTACAGCAGCAGTTTGAAGTCTCTGTTCTTTTTCTCAGTTAGCTGAAGTACTCAATATGTAGTATTTATAGGTTTTTTTACTAACATTTTGTATAGTATAGGTGCAGAGTAATCTTACAATTTAACCCAGGCTTCATATAGGACATACTGTGTGTAGGGTACGTATTTAATTTGAAAATGAAACAATGTAGTTGCTCTTTATTTTTATTTAATCATTTACCTACAGAAAAAGTTTTCCAAGGCAAAATTTTACACTATAACATCACAGAAGGGGGAAAAAAAAAAGCAAACAAAAAACCCCAAACAAACAAAAAAAAACCCCAGAAGGCAGAAAGCTGTTTACCATTTATCAGATTAATGCAAACAATACTTCTCATCTTCAGCTCATTTAGATCTTTTGTTTAGATTTCAATCTAAATCTACACTACAAGAGAATAAGAACACATTCTTCTTCAAGACTGGTTAGTTTCCTCTGGTGAAGGTAGTTTGTCAAGTGCTCCCACCTCTGCAAAAAGGGGAGGAAAAAAAGGGAAGAGAGAATTAGCACATATGTAAGTATGCATATTAATCTTAGCAATGAAATAATGAAATCCAGTTTCAGTAGTATAATTTTTCTATTTTCTTCTCCCAACTATAAGAGGCAAATCCTTGAACTTTTAATGTTTTAATTCATAAAGTATTCTTTTTTCTTTTGAATGTTAACAATATCTTCCTGCTATAATTTCACCTTTTTGGAAACAGGGACAGAACAACAATGAAATTATATCAATTTTACTATGTCAATTGATATTGCTAGATCCCAGCATCTCAAAAGTTCTAATACTATCCAATTATGTCTGCCATCCTAGAGCCTGCTCTATATGGGATGCCTTTAAAGCTGGAGGGAGCAATTTTCAAGAGACAGAGCTGAAGGCCACTTTTAGTTATCACCAGGATACCTCTTAGCAGTTAAAATATTCACTTTATGTTGCGGATTGAAATGTATATCTAATCTGAATAACCATTCCCTGAATCCAAATCCCATAAGTGGGAGTTTCCCCTCACCCCTTCAAGTTTTGTATGTGTTCAAAGGAACATATATAAACCAATATTTTTAATGTAATGAAGCCACATTTGAGCAAAAATGTTTAAGCATCTCTACCGTAATAAAGTATGTTTTTCACCTCCTAAACCTACAGTTCTGATTTTGTGTAAGAGTTTGTACTAATTCCTGTCAATAAACATTGTTATGGGATAATATGATAACGTTCTGTGTTTTTTGAAATCTAGGAAATCAAGAATTATCTCAGGGAAAACCCTTTTTATATGATCTGGAGATTCCTTTTATAATGAGGAGAGATAATAAAAGCAACTTTTCTGAATAAAACCAGCTGTTTGTCATCACTATCCTAAACAAGGAATTGTTACTTAGAGTTACAATACAGCCTTTTTTTGCTCATTTGTCCCAGGGAAGAAGCAATTTGTATTTCTATGAGATGCATTTTATTTTCTTGTCCAATTTAGCAGCTCAGCCTACTCATCAGAGTGAGTCCATGCTTGATCTCAGTATGTTTCACACCCTTTCTGTTGTGTCCAGTTAATGGTTTTACTTCCTACGCTCACATCGGAGGGTAAAGGAGTGTTTAGGGCTCCTCCTTTTTCACAATGGCACAACAAACAGGCTACTACTTTGTCCACAGTAAATATACAGGCTAATAATTTACTTTAGATATATATTTGAATTATCTCATGCCCTTGGTACTAGCCATAAAGAGTTTTTGTTTTGCTTGGGTGGATGCAAATCATTTAGAAAATTGTATCAAAGAGGTTCAGAATTTTGTTTCCTAGATATGCAGTAAAATGAACAGATCTCTTGAAAGCCACTTTTAATAATGAAATTAAAATACAAATGTAACACACAGTTCTTTGTTACTATTCTGCAGCATACACTTGCCACAAAATTGCTTAGAATTTGCTGTATACAGACTTATTTAGTTGTCTGCTTTGAGACAGAATTCCTTTTTTCCTTCTGATTGTTTTCTATTATATTTTCAAATGTTTTGTAGACAGTTTTAGAGGGGCTGAAGAGGCTATTAAAAGCTCAGATTTGTGTGTTTTTTAAAAAAGCAAAAGTACTGAAAGCTCAGAAACAGCGAGATTTCTTCTTCACCTAATGCTAAAATAAAGTTACTATTCTTCCAGAATCAGCTGTAAGCTCAGTTTTATTATTTTTGTCACAATTTTGAGACTCCACAGAGTTTTTACTAGCAGTGTTTTAAGCTGTTTGCCAACATTCAGCTTAGTGGTTTTGCGATTTTATGACATGACTTTATTGTAGAATACATGCAGAAAGGGAGAGGTATTTCTGTTGCCACTAACAAGTGTTTCAGAATTTCACCCAGCTTCTTAGCATTAAACTGAGGTCTTATTTAATTTGTTAATGATTTGTTTTATACTAACTCCTATGTAATCAGACTGTATTTAGCTTGTTTTCAGCTCCAAGAGCTGGGTCCATACAATTTTACTAGTAGCTGCTATTATATTCACAGTGCCCAGAACCCTGCTATGTTGGATATCTATTGACATGCAGTTTGGCTTATTCCTAAGCACACTAAAATGGAATTGATAGTTCCTCCCTTCTACCAGAGATGCTGTTCAAAGTCTTGCATACTCAAGTCTATAGCAGACTTGTACATTCAAGGATAGGACTATCTTCTCAGCAAATCTCACACCAGAAAGCATGAAAGATTAAAAAGCTATTCACTAACCTTTAAGATGCAAGTAAGTCAAAAATTCAAGTACTGTACGCACAATGTTTTCATCAGCCAGTGGTCTTCCAAGATTCCCTATAAAACAAGTTGTTAGTTAATGTTAACATGGTGTAATGATCTAGTGTATGTGACATTGTGGCTAGGTACTCTCAAAAAAGCTATCTAAAATTTAGTTTTCCTTAAAATCCTTAACTGAAAACTTCATTACATGGAACATTAAAGCCACTTTAAGGTAGTCAACTGCAATTTTCAGAATCCAAATTGTCCAGCTTTGTATGCTACTGCTGTGTAGGAGCTGCTTTGACACCTTAATGGTCATGATCTTTTAGGCCTTATGAGTTCTGTTGCAGAGAGTTATGCTCTGTTCTCAGCTCTCTCCTTTGTGTCCACTAGCCTAAGATTGAAGGGAAAGATAAATTTAGCAAACAAATTAATCAGCTTTGCAAAACAGTTAAGAGCTCTTCATGTAGTTGGGCTTCGTTCCCAAGAAGCCACTCAAGTGATATATAAGTGATTTGTAGCCCCAAAGCTAGCCCTGGCACTTTACTATAAGTTCAGAAAGGTATATTTTTGCAGATATATCCAAGACAATACAGTCCTCTTTTATCTATCTTGCCATTTTAAGACACTTTTGTAAATATTCAGAAGAATTTAACTAAAAAAAATCCTTCGTTTTCAATTAAAATAAGAATTCTGACTACTACTACCATTTTTGATATTCAAATCTCCTTTGAATAGGAACTCTATAATAAACTTCAGCTCCAAAGAAAACTTTCGATGAGAGAAGAGCATCTACAGTGACATTCGTAACAGAGGCAGTTATATAATTTTCAGGTCCCATCCAGACAAGTTTCATTGGGTTTGTAATTGTGGAGATGGAGCAGCACCTGACAAACCTGTTCCATACTCTTAAAGATCACAGTTCTGTAAAGGAGCTGGTAGTGTACCCACAAAGGACAACACGTTCCAACGTGAGCTGCATTGTAAGATTACAAATGCCTCCCTTGCACACTTCTTCTGGCCAGCAAAATATTATTTTTACCCCACTTTGAGGAAGTAGGTTTTCCCTGTGCGTTTTCTTTTGTGGGTTTTTTTTCTTAAAAAGAAAGAAAAACCCAAACCAGCCAACAGCAACAAAAACAAACCTGCACCAAAAAACCCCACAAAACCAAGAAACATCACACACAAGACTAAACTGGCAGTCATTCTGAGAAATGTATTAGGGTTACTCTTCTATTTTAAAAGTAATTATGTCCATGAAATTGTAATTAAGCACATTTCCTTTATTTCCTACTTACTTAGTCTTAGCTACATTTGCATTGTGCTGGGTGGATTTAAAATAGCCTTCCAGAGCTCTGGGGCTGAGATTTTGTCTTCCCCCATTAGTGCAGTGATAAATGCAATAGCACTCAAGTAAGTACTGCTTTTTTTGGTTACGATTAGGAACAGATCACTCTTTGACAGTCTGAAGATGAGATTCATTCCAGCTCACTTTAGATGTCTGCAACAGATCTAGTTTCTTTTCAGGAGAAAGAAACAGGTTTTTTTCTAGAAATTTCTACATCTTAACGCTGAATTAAGTGTTCAAAACAAATCCCAGAAGTGACAGATTCTCTTCATAAAGAGAGTCTAGACATATAATGTAGGCGCCCGACTTTGTATGATGAATCCAGAACAAGGCTGCAGCCTTTCACTGCCATTTACTAAATTTTGTTGACTTGATTTCAGTTTTGATCAGGCCCTCAATCTTTTAATGAAGATAATGCATTTTGCTTAAATATAGGAAACATTGTGAGACTTAACATGGATTTGTTGTTGTTGTTTTTAATTACAACAGAATGCCATACAGTTCTGAGGTCTAATTTCAGCTCTGGCCTATCAGAATTTAAAAAATTATTATATATATATATATTTGCCAGTTTCTATAGCTTTCCCTACTGACAGATTCCTTTATGGGCTCACTTCTTTGCTGCAAAAAAGTTAGGGCTTGAAATAATTATTGGAACATACCAAAAAAAAACCCCCTCGGTCTGTTCAAGGCAATATGATCTATTAGCTTTAAAAGCAGCATAATCATGGTACTGTTCCCTAGGCACCAAGATGTTTTAAGCTATCACCAAAGAGCACAGTGAATGGCCAAATTTAATTTTTCTTTCTTTTATATGTTTAGTAGGATTTTTGTTAAGTGCAGGAATAGTCTTGCATCTAGGTAGTTAGTTAACTCAATAACAGTAATAAAATACTAAACATAAAAAACAACTCAACAATACTGGCTTTTAGAATGTCATTACCTGCTTTAATATCCTCATCAGGCTGTATTTCACGTTTACCAGTGAAACCATGTTTGTCATTAAAAGATCTGTGGTTATCTACTGCATCTGATAAATAAATTAAAAATCGGAGGAGTTAATTGACTTAGCAACAACCTTTACTGTACAGTTTGCTTTTCATGGATTTCAAAGAAAATATCATGATGGGCACTTTTGATGTACAAAATGACAAAGAAGCAATTAATACGTCACTAAATAAAATAACCTTTCTTCTGAAATTGTGCTTATGATTTATGTAATTTAGAGACCCAGTCCTGTACTACGTACTTGCTGAAACTTTTACTTAATTCAGAGGAAGTTTTAAAGAAAATACAAATTTGTACATTCACATGAAATTTGGAAAGTTGTTTTTGCTACTCTTTCATCTATTTTTAGAAAATGTTGCCAATGAGCTTGCTTAAAAGAAAACTGCAGATAGTTTTGGAAGGTTATTCATGTAAACTATCTTACATGCCCCTGGTGCCTCTTCTCTCCCCCTTGCAATGGGCATTTCCTTTATCAGTAAAAGCTGATCAATACGACCTGCAACAAAGGATGATTCCTATTATCCAGTCTTAGATAAATGGCACTTTGACAAGTACATTGCCCCACAGTATCTTTGCCAATTTTGGACAGATTTGCCTCGGGGCAAATATACTTCCAGACATTTACAGAACCAGTTAATACATTTAAGATGCACTAATTTATCTTTTTAAGGTATCCTTAAAGTTACTTAAAAAGAATTAAGAGCATCATAGTAGGGATCTGTCATGTATTACACAGACTGAAAATATAGAAACATTAGTAATGAGTGTTCTTACATCAAGAAAATGGTATTTTTTTTTTTAAATATGAGATATTTGATACAGCTTAGTGCTGCATTTCACTTTTCTTATAATCTACATTTGTGGTGCTACATCTTTGCAAACCAATGTGTTCCTGTATTTTAACACCTTGTACATCAAATATTTTCCACATAGTGAACTGTTAATATTTACAGTCATGAGTTTGCATCTAATTGCTTTAATTTGGTTTGCTTTAATCAGAGGGGAAAAAAGCAAAAAAGGGAAAAATAAAGCCAGGTACCAAACCTGTTTTCAAATAGACTGATACCTGAAATACATTGAGAATTGCCAAAATGTCACATTTTGTCATTCTTCCCTTGACATCTAAGATGCTATACGATTTTGTAACATTTCTTGGGGGGAGAGGCAAAGTATTTATCATATGAAAATTACACTTCAGATGCACAAGCAGCAAACAGATGTGCTCCTGTATATAAAGCCACACATAACTGCTTCAGAAAAGAACAATTATTGTCTAAGACAACTCAATTCTGTAACAGGCACGTAATGAATATCTAAACAAGTATTTTCCCAAATGAGTTCCTTCAGCCTTGCAGGTTTCGACAAAATTACTGTCTTCATCAGAAAAGCGAGTAGCACACTACAGCAAACTGGTTGACAAGAAAAAATCTTCTGTATTTTGAAATAATAAAAACAAACCAAAACAAACAGTGCTTGACTTACGAGGCCCAAGTAGGTAACCAGCACTATTCAAAGTCCAGCCTCTTTTTTCTTTTGCCTTGAAGAAAAAAAAATACAAGTATGTTATTGCACAAACAAATGAACTACACAGTGCTTCGTGAAGACAAAGCAAACAGCACTCAGACATTCTCTTAGCAGAAAGTGTCTTCTGAAGGCTTAAAAATCAAGAAATGTTGTAAAAAAAAAAAGCCAATACGATTGAAGGAAATATTAATGGTGAACTCTTGCTCCATGCCCATCTAACTCAATAGCTTTGCTATTGACATCCATGTGGTGTGAAGATTTCGCATCATGTAAGTGAAACTGCAAATCACACTTTGGAGGCAGAAACTTTGCCTTTATACTCCAAGTTTATACTGCCACCTGATAATCAGCTTAACAAACAGCAATGCTCTCTTTTAATTGTTTGGATTTACATGCCTCTTTTTCTTAGAAAAAACCAGCCCATACGTACACTACCTTCTCTGAGTCAGACAGGACACCCATTCAATTTTACTTTGTAAACTAGACACTTTTTTCCCCCCTCTAGTCACATTATTTGTTACAGAGGAGCTAGCATTCAAAACCCCCAAATTCTTAACTAAAAACCTGCTTACTGCCCAAAATGTTTTTGAGTGCTTCACCTTGTCCAACCCCTATACCTAAACACAAATCACTGCCAGGTGTACTTGCCAGCTGAGACCGGGATGCTGCCCAACAGGTAGGGTCACCGACAGTGAAATTAGTACTTACTGAGAAAACCAGTCCAAATGTTTCTGACAGGGTGGCACAAAGGATTAACGACAGGAACAGGACACCAGTGCCCCTCTGCATCTGGAAAGAAACCGCACCAGGGGAAACGCTCTCAGTTATCCCTTTGCCTTCCCGTATGGACACCCCAAGAGCATCCCCGCCGCGGGCGGGTCGGAAAGGGGGGTGAACCTTCTTTCCATGGGGCAGAGCGGCTGCTCCTACCAGTTTGGCCCCCAGATTCCCACTGGGAG